CTGAATTTTTTTCCCATTTTATTTCATGCTGTTAAATCCATATTTAAAAACCTCAGTGTAGCATAGTACAAAGGCAGTTTTTATGGGAAAAAATCCAACTACCACACCCTCTCAGGCTCCATAAGCAAAACATTAGGCAGAGTCTGGATCAAACTTTATTATATTGAAAATGCTAAGCTAACTGTTTTTTTGTTATTTACAATCTTTAAGCTAAGATAAGCTCAACTTCAACTGGATGTGGTCACATCCTTCAGGGACAGATATGAACGGGACATCAATCTTCATTTACCTCACAGCAAGAGAGAAAACTGCACATTTTCCAAGACGCTGAATGATTCCATAATGAGACATAAGCAAATTTACTCAGCAGAGTTTTATGCAAAAAAGCCAAAGGGAGTCTGTTGTTAATTACACTGCTCTTTGAATAATGCGTCTCATTTCACTAAAACTCTCAACATGTTTTCCTAAAAACGCCCATGACAACACAAGTATCACCTTTCCAGATCAGTTTTTAATTTAAAGCAAGGAGATGCTTTAGCAGCCCTGCGGTTTAGTTTTAGGTTCATAGGTTTGTTTATGAGTATAAATTACTGCATTTTTTTTGTTCAATGAGACAATGGGAAATAAATAGGCTTTGGTAAGTGCTCTTTAAAATATACAGTATTTCTAACAAATTTAGTCCTTAATAAATAAATCAACTACTCAAAACTCAGAGGCACTGTGTTACATTTGATTGAAAGCAACACGTCGACACCTTTTTTGTCACTACAGTGAAGACTCAAGGATTTCTAAATTTCAAGCTCAAGTATTAGTAGAAAGTTAAGTTAAAGCAGTGAAACCTAGTCAAAAAAACAACTACAGTCGTCTGTTAACAACGTCCTGGACCTATCATGTACCTCGTTTACGTCGCCATCCTCCATATGGCATTAAAATTTTGAGTGGTTGAAGTGGAGGATTACGTAATCACTTGGTGCTATATGCAGAAGATGGCCTTGTTTACATTCCCTGGTTGAATGTCATACATTGGATTGTGCTACACTAGCTTGCTAGCTAGGGTTTTTTTAGGGAACTTTCTTGTCCTTCATTATGGCTCCCAGGGGTAAGTCAGACTCTTCTGATGTTCTATGTCAAGATTTCAAGATTATGATGTTACCACTGTGATATATATACTTATGTACAGTATATACAGAATATACATAAGAGAAGCCCTTGTATTTATTGTTTTACAAGCATTTAAAACCAAGTACCAAACTGGCCTCTCCTCTACCTAATATCTAGGAACTAAAGTTTGATCAGCATGACCTGACTGACCTTCACACCCATCGCCGCCACATGCTTTGCTACCTCACATCACAGCAAAGCCATTGAGGTCGGCCAGCCAAGCGAGCTATTGCATGTTCGTTGCAATATGTGTGGTGAGCCGAGCCAAAGCTGCCGGGGTTTATGGGATGGTTTTTACAGCTTGTGATCAACGGTTTCCCTTCTTGTCTTTTGTCTTCTCCTCAAACTGTCCCTCTCTGCCTCCTGTCTCTGTCTCACACATGGAGAATTTTGTCATAACACAACTGGTTAATATGTCAACGCCCCAGATGAACCTATGGGACGGTGATAGTGACGTAAGGCAATGCTCCGCACATGTGTACGAGTGTTTGCTCACTTTATAATCCTTCAGCAGTGAAAACAGATTAAACCCAGACTTTAGCTAAAGGCTTTTAGTCCTAAAGCCGTCATGTACGACTTTTGGGTGGTAAAAAGTACAACAAAAAAACAGTCCCAGTCCAACCTCTAAAATTTGACAACCGGGGTTAAGGCCGTAGCTTAACTGTTTAACCCCAAAATGTGGTAAATTTGAAGTTTATGTACAGAGTGCAAGTACAGAGTATTTTTTGTTGCATTTTCATTCCATCAACTTCAATAGAGTTCACACAGAGTTGGAACGACATTAACCTCTGTTTAAAATGCCAGAGTTTAATGTTGTAACCGTAAGAAAAAAAAGAAAAGTTGTTAAACAACTGCCTTAACTCCCCAAGGACTCCGCTGTCCCAGAAACAGCACGAAATGTCATGAGAAAGAAAATGACAACGACTAAAAATGGTCCGAAAAAAATCCTTGATGGTGAGGCTGATGACAATCTCAGGGTTAAAGAGCCGTCAGTAGGAGGAAAGAACAAACTCCTAAAAGCTGAATTAGCATTCCTGTCAATCACAGTCCTGGCTACAGACACACACACGAGCATAGCTTCGATTTAATATCCCTCTCCTTACCTAGGCCCCAAACTCTATCAGCATACTGACACAGAAATATGGGGGAGAGAGCGAGAGAATAAGAGACGAGTGCATACGGAATGAGAGGGGAGGAAAGAGAGGAGAAGAAGGGGGAGGAAAAGGAGTGCACGATAATGGAAAGCTAAGTAATCTGCAGATTTTATCACAGACAACACCTTTTCCTGAACAGAATGATGTGCAAGCGTGGTCACAAACTGCTGGTACGCATGTCTGCCTCGTCACAGTACACAACAGATCCCATTTCCCCAGGTGGCCCGGTACAGTAAGCTGCGCCTCAGTGACTGACAGCTAATATCAACCCCGCGCTCATACTGATGCAGCTGGAAAAGAAATTAAACCTTTTTCTTATCTATCGATGACTTCCTGATTTTCCTCAGGTCACCGTGTGCAGCTCATGAGCTCAGTGAAACAGACTTAACGACCGTCGTCCATTCACAGACACTCAAAAACGCTGCCATCAGTGAGCCTGTTAAAGACAAATATGCGCAAATATTTTCTTTACAGTGAAATGCCTCAAAAATGTCCGTGAAAACAATTTGGGAAAGGCCCATGAGAAAATACTTTTTCTCTCCTCCTCTGCTGGTGGAGAGAAAAGGGGGGAAGGGAGAAAAGTTGAAAAAAAAAGGGAAAAAGAAAGAAAAGAAGAGCTGCTGTGAACATGGGATGGGGGATAAAGATGGGTGTAGGGGCGGGGGGGGGGGGCGGGTTGGGAGGGGGGGGGC